ATGTGTTTATGTATTTTCAGTTTTGCTGTTGATTTCTAGTTTCTTTACATTATGACTTGATGCAAGTAGCTAGGTGAGGTTTTTTTGCTTTTGTTAAAACTTGATAGATGGTCCAAAATATGTTTTATAAAGGATACTGTAACCTGGTGAAAAAGGCATGTATTTCTCTTTTGTTGGATAGAACACTGTAACTGTCTCTTAAGTCCATTTAGTTTAAACTCACCTCCTATTCTTGTATTGGGACCTGCCTTTCCCTTTATGTTGAGTAATATTTGTTTTTTGAAATTGAGTGTTCCAACATTCTATGCAGAAATATTTACAATTGTTTTCTCTTCTTGGTGGATTGTTCCTTTTACTACTGTGTAATGTCCTCTGTCTCTCCTGACTCGTTTTGGCTGGAAGTCTGTTTTGTCAGATATGAGTGTAGCTACTCCTACTTGCTTTTGAGTTCCATTTGCATGGAATATCATTTCCCATTTTTTCACTTTCATTCTCTGTATATCTGCCTGTGATGTGTGTTTCTTGAGAGCAGTGAATTGTTTTTTTAAGTACAATCCACAGTCTGTCTCTTAATTTGAGAATTAAGATAATTTACATTCAGGGTTATTATTAAAAGCTATATATTAATTACTGTCATTTTGTGTTTTTCTGATGTTTGATTCTTTCCTAATGAGTATTTGCTTGTCTACTCTTCTTTTGTGTATGGGTTCCATTAAATGTCTTCTGCAATACTGACTTGTGGTCATGAATTTCTTCAGTTTCTGCTTATCTTGGAGGGTCTTTATTTGTCTTTGAGTTTTGAAAAACAGCTTTCATAGATATACATAATTATCTAGATTGGCAATTATTTCTTTTAAGGCTTGAAATACATTATTACTTTTAGTTTTTAAAACTTTGTGGCTTTTAGTTTTTCCTGCTGAGAAATCTTGATGTTTTTGTCTTGCAATATTCAATACTTTCTCTCTTTTGTTCTGTGCTCTTGAATTTTAACTATAATATGACACAGTGGAAGTTCTTTATTGGTTGTGTCTGTTTGGGATTGTAAATGCTTCCTGTATGTGGATGTCTATATCTTTCTCAAGATTTGAAATTTTCTGCTATTATTTCACTAAATAGATTTTCTATGCCTTTTGTAACTTGATATCTTTTTTCTTTTAATTGCAAAACTTGTATGTTTGGTCTTTCAGTTGTATTCCAGAATCTCTACATGCTTCATTCATAATTTCTTATTTTTTCTTTTATTTCTATCCAAATGTGATGATTCATCTACCTTATCTTTTATCCCTGAAATTTTGTCTTCTGCTTTATAAGGCCTGGTAGATAGGCCTTTCCTGAGTTTTAATTTGACTTATTGAGCTTCAAATGTCCGTAATTTTTTCCAGAATCTCTATTGAATGCTCTTTCATTTCAGTGGTTGTCTTCCCTAGTTTATTTAGTTGTTTATATGTATCTTCTTTGAGTTCACTGATCATTTTTTCTACTTTTTTATTGATTATGCAGATTAATGGATTTCATTTTTGTCACATCTGTATAAGTACATAATCCATTGTTCATTTTTATAATCATTCTTTTGAATTTAGTATTTTTGTCTCTTTGATATCTCTGCAGTTACTGTGGAAGTATATTAACTTTTGTAGCAGTCATGTTTCCTTGTTTTTTTTTTTTTCATAGTTCTTAAGTTTTTATGTTGAGATTTGTCCATCTGTTGAGATGTAATTCTCTTACCCTTTTGTGTGAGGACTTTTCATACAGGGAATGTTTACCTGGAAGATATGCTCTGAGGTATTGGTGTATTGTGTGGTGTTTAGTTCTAAGTAGGTTTCTCACTGTGTATTTTCCCACACATTTGCCATTGTGTATTTGTGTTGTTTGTTTTTGTTTTTGTTTTTTTTTGTTTTTGTTTTTGGTTTTGTTTTTGTTTTTGTTTTTTTTTTCCGGTACCAGGAATCGAACTCACGACCTTGCGCTTGCCAGGCAGGCGCTTTTGCCGCTGAGCTAAATCCCCAGCCCCTGTATTTGTGTTAATTGACACAGTGCAGTGCATACTGTGTCAGAACCTAAATGTGACTCAGATCCAAAGAAATCTCACAAGAGTAGGACCCTTCTGATAGTTAAGGTATGTGTGCTTTAAGTAGCAGAGTATGTGGGATGAACCCTTGTAAATACCTCCCTAATTGCATCAGCACATGTGGTCTAAAAGGTTATGGATATGACCTATGCTGGGTTTATTAGTAGGTATGGTATCTAGGAAAGTTATATTATTTTCTCTCTGCTCTTATTGTGAGAGGGTACAACATCCAGATGTGAGACTTTAATCTCCATCTTGTAGTACCTGTTTGGTTCTAATTCATTGGCTGAGGGTCACTCGCTGGGGCTGTTGTTTCTGTATTATTTAGTTTGAAGTACCTGCCAGAGCTTGAGGAGGACTAAGTTGTGGCTGAAGTTAGGTGCAGTCTCTCTTATCTGAGCTGGACATGTATCTCACCAGAGTAGCACTTACCTAGAATGCTCATAGTACCAGGCTTGATTCCCTGTACTTCTCAGAAGGAAGACAACAAAGCACAGTGATACCCCCCTTATACGAAGAATTCCAATGTAGCAATATAGCAAAAAATAAATTTTAAAAACTCATAACCTTTATACTCATTACCATTAATAATAACTAATGAAAATTAATAAAACAAGAAAAAAGAAAGTAAAGAATAGCAGAAGTGATGTAAAAAATTCGAGAGACAAACAAGAAAGATATAAAAAATGGAAAATGAATGAAATAAAAAGTTAAAGGAGGGGCTGGGGATTTAGCTCAGCGGCAAAAGCGCCTGCCTGGCAAGTGCAAGGCCGTGAGTTCGGTTCCCAGTACCGGAGAAAAACCAAAAAAAAAAAAAAAACTTAAAGGAGAAGACAGAAAAATAAGACAGTAAATTAAAAGCTTTGAGAAATAGGAAAGAAAATAAGAAAAATATATATTATAGAAAAAGTACAGATAGAAGAAAGGGGGAAAAGAAAAAAAACAGAAGAAAAACAAACATCAGAAACTAAAACAAAAAAGTTAGTTGGAAGTTCTTCCTGGCTGAGGAATTTGGTTTGGAGAAGCAGAGCTGACCAGTTGTGGAGTAGATAATGAGATGCTGCTACGCTCTGTGCTTCATTTATGGCAAACCGGATAGGGCATTTTACAGGCTGCAGGGCAAGTTTCTTGCTGGGTAAGTTGAGAAAATGTTAACTGTGCCTGGGAGGTAGTTGCTGGGGAGAACTTTTGTGTGCATACCCAGGGCGTGGCATCTGGCCAGTTGAGTGTCAGACTGGAGGGAGCCCTTGTGTCCAGCACATCCTCAGTGGCCTCTGAAGTACGCAGAATGTCTGCTTATTCATTATACTTCATCTGAGCACCCATAAGTATGGCATGCAACTGAGTGGTAGACAGGAGTCCTTCTTGCTGGTCTTGGCTTGGTGACCTCTGTGCTATGCAGGGTGGGCATTCAGCCTCTTCTGAGGGTTTTGGACTGTGCACCTGCCTGCAAAACTTATACTACTTTGCATCATGCTCTCTTTAGCACCTGTACCTTGGTGGACTACGGGCTGCCCCAGTTAGGTGTATTTTCCTTCTGGTTGAGTCTAGACAGCACACCTAAGGGGTGTGGCAAATGGCTAAGCAGCACCTTGGTGATTTGTCTCTGGAAAGTTACAGAGAGTGGGTAGAGCAGTTAAGCAGCAGTTAAGCATCTAAACTCCATGCTGAGGAGGTCACCATGAGGGCAGTGGCGCTATACCCTTTACTCCCCTCTGTCATAATCTCAGTATTCTTGGAGGCTGAGGCAGGAAGATCACAAATTTTAGCCCATCCCTGGCAATTTAAGCAAAGTCTTGTCTCAATTTTTTTTTTTTTAAACAAAGGGCTGGGGATGTAGCTCAATGTGAAGAACAAAGCAAGAATATTTATATTCTTTGTATATTTGTATATATTCTCGAGGAATACAAAAGTGTCCAGCATCCAGAAAAACAAAATTCACTGTTAGGCTTTCATTTAAAAAATATGTATCAGCTGTGCACAAATGCATAAATAGGAGAGGAAGAGACAAGCAGAACCAAACAAAAATTGACAAAGATGTTAGAATTAGCAGGTAATAACATTATAATCATATATACTGGCTCTTTTTCCCCTAGGTATTTACCCAAGAGAAATGAAGGGATTTATTCACCAAAGATACAAGTATTATTGTCCATTTTGATTTATCCTGCACAGTCCAGCTGTACTTAAAGTTAGGTTTAATTTTCAGTTCTCTCACAAAGCTTTGTCTGGCTATTTGACCCAATATAGATTTTTCCCCTGTCTTGTTGCATTTCTCTTCACATTTTAAATTGTCTTCCAGATAATATATATTGGCTTTTTCAGTTATTTTAAAATATGTTGTCTCCTTTTATTCTCATACTCTTTGGGTAGGTATGATGAATAATATTATTCTCCATTTTATAGATGCAGAAATGAGAACAGACAAGTTATTTGATTTCTTCAAAATAAAATTTCAACCTATAGTTTCATCATAAAACCTGCTTTCCCTATTCTGTAATCCTCAGGTTTTATACTTTACCTGCTACTCCTTCCTACTGGAGTATGTATTGTCAGTTGGTTGGTTTCCGATATCTGTTTCTTTTCAAAAAATTATTTCAGGGTTTCGGATGTAGCTCAGTGGTAGAGCACTTGCCTAGCAGGTGCAGGCCCTGTGTTCAGTTTCCATTACCAGGGCAATCTCTATGCTTTAAGAAAAATTAACTACTTCATTGTGCGCTCTTCTATCATAATTAATATTGAAGCCTGAGTTCTTTAGAGAGGCAGCATGTTTGATCAAGGAGATTTGAGGTTTGAACTACTGACTTAATTGTTCCACAGGCAACTGTCAGTGATAGTACACTGTATGTCAGATGTTAATGCTGGTCCTGATATAACAAATGTTGACTGTATTATTTTGTTAATAATATTTGGTCTCTTCTTATTTATACAGGAGAAATTAAACAAATCCTAGAAAATGAACTTCAGATACCTGTGTCTAAAATGCTGTTAAAAGGCTGGAAGACTGGAGATGTGGAAGACAGTGTGAGTTTCTTAATTGCCTAGAAATAAGAGAAAACTAAGTTATATAGTTGACAAAATGGTGTATAAAAATTGGTTTTAACTAATATTAAGTATGTCAGAAATATATTTGATAATAGTTTACCTACAATGTTTCTCAAGCTAAAGCATTTTCATGCTAAACCAATAATAGTTTTAAATGAAATAGATGAGTAAGTAGAAGCACTATATTTGATGTTTTCCCTATTTCTAACTATTTTATAGATGTTTGGTACTTTTTTGAGAGCATTTGGCTTTTTCTTAAACCTCTTGAGTATCAGTGAGTTTCCTGGAATAATAATTTACTGAGCAGTTTTATACTGACCTGAAAAAAAATCATACAGTGTGTACATTTATGCCCAGTATTGATTATGGAACAAAGGTAATAATAGAAAACTTTTAAATCTTGGAAAGTTTAAATGGTAAGAATATTTGTTTACTTGGATAGTGGCAGGTATATGGAATAAATTATACTTCTAATAATCTGCAGAGTGTTGCAGTGTTTAGGTGGTCGTTATGCTTAGGGACCTACTAGCATTACCAGGTATAAAATATTTCACATACTTTTTCTTTGTTCTAAGAATTAAACTCATGACCTCATGCTTGCCAGGCAGGCATTGTGCCACTGAGCTATATCCCTGGCCTTTTTCTTTTTTTTCAACAGAGATAGTGGAGAAGGAGGGATAGAAATGAATTAACTCTATAAAGTTTTATATATCTGAGGTGGAAATAATTACTGAATCTTTTCTCAGTTTTATTCAGTCAGTAATATTTCTACCACTATGTACAAACATAATCTTTAAATTTTGAGTCAGTTTTTTGTGAATGGCTTTTGGTAGACATTATACTTATAAATCGTACTTATATGTGAGTTCCATTGATGAAGGGAAATGTAATGAGTATTGCAGTAAGCTATTACCTGGAATTTCAGGTAGGTGAGACATTTGTAAGTTTAGATACACATTATTGATGTGCTATATTAGTGGTTAGCAAACTGAATGTAAAACCTCAAAGTGAAAGCATTTACACAGCTACTTTAGTTATTCATTCTTTTATTGAGAAACCTGTAGGTATGAACCAGCGTTCCATGGCATTTTCAGTCATTTGTGAAGAGAAAATCAACCTTGTCTTTTTTTTTTTTTTGGTTTGTGTTTTGAGATAGACTCTTGCTGTGTTGCCCAGCTAACCTCCAATGTGTGACCCTCCTGCCTCTTACCTCAGCCTCCCAAGTACCTTGTATTACAGGCATGTGCCACTGTTCCTGCCAAGGCTATCATTTTGAATGTGTTTTTTAAGCAGTGTATTCCAGAATTTAAACGTAGTCTTTGTTACAAATAATACTTTCAGTTATTTCTATGTACTCTTTTCCCCAGGTGATTTCTCCCATTTCTATGTCATTAATGTTCTGATTGCTCCCGAATTTATGTATCCAGCTTGTGCTTCTCTTCATTCACACATCCAAATTAGTAATTAACTTTTATACTTGCATATCTTATTGTCATCTCACTTGACATGCTTTAAATGGAACTGTTAGTTTTCCTTTCTCTGCTTCCCCATTGGTGATCTTCTTCCATAAGTACTCAGTAGTCTATACTAAATCAAAAGATGATGACATAATCCTGTTTCTCATTACACCTAATTCTTTGGTAAGCTCTACAGATTCTGTTTCCAAAATATATCTCAATTAGCCTCTTTTCAGTATTTTTATTGTAATTGTCTATTTTAGGCCATTGATCTATCTTGCCTGGGTCAATATAATGACTTCATCACTGTTTTCTCAGCTTTCTTTCATAGATTCTTCCAGTGCATTCTCCACATAGCAGCCAGAACAATCTTTGAAAATCACAAATTGAATTATATTGGTCTATTGTTAAAATACAGGTTTTAATTGCATTTTAAGTAAAATTCATAGTACTTACCATAGTTTGAAGAGCATTATATTATTCACTCTCTTCTTACTTCCACAATATCACCTTGATTCTTTTTTTACCTTTACCTGCTGTGATGTATCTTGTTTAAAAGTCTTTTTTTTTTTTTGTGTGTGGTTTTTCTCCGGTACCGGGAACCGAACTCACGACCTTGCGCTTGCCAGGCAGGCGCTTTTGCCACTGAGCTAAATCCCCAGCCCCTTAAAAGTCTTTTAATAGGCTCAAGCTTTTTACATCTTTAATCTGATAGATGCTGTTATGAAATTATGAAGTTAACTCATTTGTTTATAGGCAGCCTTTTTTTATTTTAAAGAGAAAAGAACAAAAACAAAATAACAAAAACAAAGACAAAAAACAACCCAAAAACTATAAAAATGATACAGAATTTCAAAATAAGGTGATAGGAAATCAACAGTGATTGTTGTATTACTTATTGTTATCTTCAGAGTAGTTGCTCAGATTGTTAGATACAGGTATGCAAGACTGATCAAACAATTAAACATTAACTGTTCTTTTCAATAAACCAATAGAAATTAGTAGTACAATTATCTTAATTATCTTCTGTGTATGTACATATATATATTTTTTTCCTTTCTCTTCCTTCTTTCTTTTCTCCTTTCCCTTATCCCAGTTGTTCTTTCCTATTGAGCAGTTTCTTTCCCTCTCACAATATCTATTGTACCTTTCAGATTTTATTTACGCTTTCAGATTCTTACACTAGGGATTCAATACAGTGTTTACACATGAGGATCTGATTTCTTTCACTTATGAGTATGGTTTCGAGTTGCATCTATTCACCTATAAAAGCCTCAAGTTTATCTTTTTTTATAGCTGAGTAATACTCCATTGTATAGAAATACTACATCTTTTTTTTCTATCTGTTCCTCAGTTGATGGACATTTGGGTTGTTTCCAGATTTTGCTATGACAAATTGTGCTGCTATAAACAAGGGTGCACATATATCACTGTGATAAGATGTTTTCAATTCTTCTGAGAAAAAACCCAGAAGGGGAATAGCGGGGTTAGATGGGACCTCTAATCCTAATTTTTAAAAGAATCTCCAGACTGATTTCTAAAGTGGTTGTACAAGTCTACATTGCCACCAACAGTGAAGAAGGGTTCCTTTTCACCCTCAGCCCCTCTAGCATTTGTTGGTTGATTTCTTGATGGTAGCCATCCTTACTGGGGTGAGATGGAATCTCAGTGTTGTTTTAATTTGCATCTCTCGAATGACCAATGATGTTGAACATTTTTTCATGTATTTATTTGCCATTTGTGTTTCTTCATCTGAGAAGTGTGCATTTGTCTCAGATGCCCATTTTTGGATTGGGTCTTTGAATTTGGAGGGGGCGGGTCTGAGTTTTTCCAATTCTTTATATGTTCTAGATAGAAGTCCTTTGTCTGATGGACAGTTAGCTAACATGTTTTCCCACTCTGTGGGTTGTCTTTTTACTCTATTGGTGATTTCTTTTGAAGTACAAAACCTTTTTAGTAAGATGAGATCCCGATCATTGATTCTTTGATGTGTTTCCTTGTGCAGTTTGGATTTTGTTCATGAAGACTGTGCCTACCCCTATGTCTTCAGAATTCTGATCTTTAGTGTTTCTGCTTTAATATTTAAATCTTTGATCCATTTTGACTTGAGTTTAGTGCATGGTAATAGACATGGGTCTGGTTTTAGTCTTCAGCATGTGGAGAGCCAGTTTTTCCAGCACCATTTATTGAAGAGACTTTCTTCCAGTGAGTATGTTTGGCCCTTTTGTCAAAGATAAGGTGGCTGAGTGTGTTTGTAGTTGTGTCCACATCTTCTAATCTGTTTCACTGGTCCTCAGGTCTATTTTTTTACTAGTACCATGGTGATTTTATCACTGTAGCTTTATACTATAATTTCAAGTCAGGAATTGTGATGCCTCCTGACTTGTCTTTGTTGCCGAGGATTGCTCTTGCTAGTCTAGGTCTCTTCTGGTTCCAGATGAATTTAAGGCATATTTTCTCAAGATCTGTGAGGTATGCTAATGGTATTTTGATTGGGATTGATTGCATTAAATCTGTAAAACAATTTTGGAAATATAGCCATTTTCACTATGTTAGTTCTTCCTATCCATGAAGAAGGAATATGTTTCCATTTTCTGATAGCTGCTTCAATTTCCTTTTGCAGAGTACTGTAATTTTTAATATATAAATCTTTTACTTCCTTTGTTAAATTGATCCCTAGCTATTTTATTTCTGGATGCTATTGTGAAGGGTATGGTTTACCTAATTTCTTTCTCAATAAATTGGTGTACAAGAATGCTATTAATTTTTGAGTATTGACTTTGTATCCAGCCATGCAACTAAATTTGGTTATTAACTCTAAGAGTCTTTTGATGGAGTTTTTGGGGTCTTCTATGTAGAGTATCATGTGATCTGTGAATAATGATAATTTCACTTCTTCCTTTCCTATCCGTAGTTTTTTTTTTCTCTCTCTTGTCTAATTGCTCTGGCTAGTATTGCCAGAACTATGTTGAAAAGAAGTGGTGATAGTGGAGATCCTTCCCTTGTTCCTGATTTTAGATTGAAAGCTTTCCCTTTTTTCTCCATTTAGTATGATGTCTGTTTGTCATAGGTGGGTTTTAATCAGATTGAGGTAAAGTCCATCTATTCTAATTTTCTGTAGGGTTTTTATCATGACTGAGTGGTGGATTTTATCAAAAGTTTTTTCTGCATCTATTGAGATGATCATGTGATTTTTGTCTCTGGCTCTGTTGATATGTTGATTACATTTATTGATTTGCCTATGTTGAACCATCCCTGCATTCCTAGGATAAATCCCACCTGGTCATGGTACATAATCTTGATGATTTGTTGAATTCTGTTTGCTAGTATCTCATTGAAGATTTGTGCATCTGTGCTGATTAGGACGTTGGCCTGTAGTTCTCTTTTTTGGTTGTATGTTTCTCTGGTTTGGGTATCAGATTAATACTTGCCTCCAGGCAAGAGTCAGGGATATTGCTTCTCTTTCAGTTTTACTAAAGAGTTTGAAGAGTATTGGCATTAGATCTTCTCTAATTTCTTGAA